TTTAGTTTATTTGTGTGTGTGTGTGTGTGTGTGTGTGTGTATGTGGCCAGCTCAGCCCACCAGGGGGCAGCGCTGGCTGGCATGTGGTGCTGGGTGATTGAACCGCGGTCCCTGTGCTTTGCTAAGCTTGTTCTAAGTAGGTGCTTTAGACCACTGAGCCATCTCACCAGCCCCCAAACAACTTTTTTAAAACAACCACTGCATAAAGCGAAAGCACAACATAATGACATCATAAAAATGCCCCTCTGACTTGCTGTGGTAGTGGACTCATGTACAGACTTCACTATCTGATACCAAAAAGTGGACAGCTCTAGCCAATACATGTTTACCGTAACGCATAAGTTCTAATTTCCAACAGTGAATAATGCAAAGATCTTCATAAAACTAGCCATATCCAAAACTAGGAAATTATACATCAAAATTGAAATATAATTGAGCTACCTATACAAGGTTGGATAGAAGTTATAACTCAGTAAAGAAGACACAATTTAAACAAAACAGCCGCCCAGCCGACTGGAGCCGGAGCCGCTGTCACCATGTCTTCCGGGGCCAGCGTGAGCGCCCTGCAGCACCTAGTGGAGCGGCTCAAGCTAGAAGCCAGTGTGGAGAGGATCAAGGTTTCCTAGGCAGCTGCAGAACTGTGGCAGTACTGCATACAGAATGCCTGCAAGGATGCCCTGCTGGTCGGTTTTCTGGCTGGTAGCAGCCCCTTCCGGGAGCCCAAGTCCTGTACTTTACTCTGCAGACCGTAAGGAAGTTCATTGAGGAATCTCTTCAAGCACAGTGATAAACGACTCCCTCCAAGTTTCAAGAAAATGCTTTTGTTTCATCAAAAGACTTTTAGATATTTCACACCTTTCTTGTGGCCGGGCCCAGAAGCCAAATTTCTACAAAAGTTAATAATTTTCTACTCAAATAAGTGAGTGAAGGAGTAGGGTTTTAAATAGTAATGGCCTGATTCTTTTGCCGAAGTGCTTCATTTTAGTAAACAAGAACCTTATCAATAGACCTCTTTCATAAATGAACTATTGGTAGTGTCATTCCTGGAATACCATGCATGTTTTATTTATTGAATGTTTACATTTAGGAATCAAAACTATTTTTGTCTATTAAAAATTGAATATTTGTAATTTGTTGTTCCTAAGATTTTTATACTATAATAAAATTTGTTCTTTTCTCATGAATTTACAATTATCAAAATCAAAAAATATAATCTAGGGGAAAACAGACCCTTATACATTTAGTGTTTTAATTTTTTATAATTGGAAGATTTATGTTTAACACTAACCACAGCAGATATTCCTTAGTCAACTTGTTTGAAAAGATTAATGTTTCTCTTGTGTTTGAAGCATCTGATCCTTTTTCTTGTAGATTTCTGTAGCTTATAAGAGGTTGCACTTTTAAACAACACTACATTATTTCACGTCCTGAAACAATACTTAAAATGCAAATGACATGTACAAGAGTGCAAATAGTTAAAAACAAAATAATGTGAAAATACTACAACATAAAGGGATTCTTGATGCCACAAGTGTTTTATTTGGATGGTGTGCCTTTGATTTTATTTGAGACACTGTTAGACATTTTATTTCTCTTTGTAAAAATATTTGAAGAGTTTGGGAATAAAACCTCTGCTGAATTCAAAAGAATAAAAAATAAAATAGCCTCAAGATTTAAGTGAAAAAAACTAATTCTTAAATTACAGTTAAAAAAAACCAAAAAAACACCCTTTTAAAATAAGCATTTAAGGGCTGGTGAGATGGCTCAGTGGTCTAAAGCACCTATTTAGAATAAGCTTAGCAAATCAGAGGGACCATGGTTCAATCCCCCGGCACCACATGCCAGCCAGCCCCGCCTCCTGGTGGGCTGAGCTGGCCACACACACACACACACACACACACACACAAATAAAAATTAAAAA